CAGATTCGCTACTTGTTAACATTTTACTCGTTTTCTTCCCACTGTATTTCAAGGGGATTCAGACATGGAGGTAGAATGAATCTTTATCAAAGTATTTTGTTTTCTAAATTCTCCTACAAACGTCCCCCTATATAAGAACTCCCCTGGCAGGCACTTTCCTCTTGCCGTGGAAATTAGAGACTCCCTTCCCCTCTTTGCCCCGCCTGCTCCCTTTGCCAAGAACAGGAAGAAGTGTTTGCTCGGGGATGCTGCCAAGACAGAGACTGTCAGGAAGAAAGAACACTGCCTGAGCAGACAGAAGGAGCGTATTCTCAGGAGACGGGGCCCCCGCCCACTACACCAATCTCAGGGCCCTGGAAAGACCCCCATCTGCACCAGCCCAGCCTTCTAGGGAGAGAGCAGGTAAGTCTGTGTCTGTCCTCTCTGTGCAGACTCTTCCTCAATGCCAAGACCTTCAGGGACACCGGTCCAGCCTGTCCCCAACCCTTGACATTTTGAGGTTGAGACTTCTGACAACTGAAGTCAGTATGGCCCAGACTACAGACTAAGGTCCTTGGGATCAAGAGTCATTTCAAGGCTAAGGGTTCTCAAAATACAGGAGAGGATTTACTTATTAGACAGAGTTTAGGATGCCACAAATGGGGATAGAGTTGAGGTCTAGAGTAAGGGACAGGTGAAGGAGAGGCAGCCTGCCAAGTTCAGAGGCTCCAGTCAGCACAGGGTCCTATCCACATTCTGAGCCCATGCTGTCTCCTCCTTGTACCTGTCAATGGCATGTCTGTCTTCTAAGCATCCCATGGGTGCTCTGAGTTAGCGCCTGGGATGTGTCCTGGTGAAAAGCATCCTTGTCCCAGATTCTGATGCTGTTGTGCTCTAATCCTCACAGGCCCCTGAATCCCCTTCATCATGAACTGGCACATGATAATCTCTGGGCTTATCGTACTGGTGCTTAAAGTTGTCGGAATGACCTTATTTCTGCTGTATTGTGAGTATTTGGGCAACCTCTTACCCAACCTCCATATCATCTTGCTCTTAGACTCTTCTCTCAGAATGCAAGGTTGAATGTAAAGGTTAAGTGCCCAAATCTGTCCACCTGAGGGCAATGGACCCAGCCCAAGGGCAATTGACAATGCCCTTCTCACTCCCCAACACACACAATGGGCCAGGTTCCTTTGTCTACCTCCTAGATACAGAACTGACCAGTGTCTGATGGTTAGAACCCCACACAAAGCTTTTGTTACTAGATTATTTGTTGGGTAATCTGAGCTAAAGTACTTGGCGGTGATTATTATCATTGCTAAAATTTGAAAATACAGCTCCAGTTTATAAGGTAACAGGATTTAACTGAGGGAGAAATTTCTGTTTATGTACATATAAATCAATGCATCCAAATGCTTAGTAAAAGAAGCCTCATATCAAAGGATTTTACTGCAATTCAACAAGTAGAATCTTCTCCAGCCCCAGAAGCCAGTGGGGAAAATAAATGAGGAAGGAAATGTGAGTAGGAGGCAGTTGGGTAAGAGGTGTCTTCCTCATGGCCCAATCTGAAGATGCAATTTCTATCACTTGAGAGAGCAAGAAGGAAATACAAATATGAGTAAGTTAACATACTCATACACAAAAATCCCCACATACACATCCACTGACTGGGTCAGAGAGTTCGGTGTTTCCCATTAATAGTCACGGTGCCCTCACAGCCCCTGTGGCGATGCTTATCTGTTACGTTCATCATGCAGCCACATTTGGGGCTGAGCCAACAGCTGATTTTCTTTGCAGTCCCACAGATCTTTGGCAAAAGTAATGATGGCTTCATGCCCACGGGGAGCTACGGAACAGGTAATGTGCACGGTGGTAAACTCCTGTCCACTGCCCAGCTTCTCCTATGCAGAGCTCTTAGAGACCTTCCTCATGGCCTCCTTTCCCAAGAAATTCTTTTTCACAAAGGGACCCTAAAAGTCTTCTAATTAATTCCCTTCCTTTTATAGATGGGGAAACCAATATCAGACTGAGGGAAATTTCTCATTCTCAGTTTATCTCCTGGGTGTGAGAGTAACTTACTTGTAATCATTGTAATGTAATGCAAACATGCTTTATAGACTCTGAAGTGGTATATACATATAAGGAATTATTATAGTAAACATAGGCACGACCAAAAAAAAAAAAAGTATCATATTAAGGACCATTTTGTGTGCCAAGTACTGTGCTGGACCAACTATAGAAGAACAAAAACAGGAGCTTTCAACCAACCGTCATCTATAAGCACAAGGTCCACTCCAGAAGCTGTGGAGGATGAAGAGATGAGGGAGGTATGGCTCTTCCTCTTGAAGCCTTTCTGGAGACCTCCCTCTCACTTCCTCTTAACATATTACTGTTGACATCTTTAGGAGAAAGATCATTTCTCATTTATCTTTGTGTCCACTGAGGCACCTGGCACAGTGAGCTGTATAGAGAATATACTCATAAAATATTTATCAGGATCTTTCAGTTATAATCCCAAAGTATTAATAGTGTCTGATGAAAACCAGGCTATTTCATATATACATA